TTTAAGAATTTATGAGAGCTGAGCATAGTGGTAGATGACTTTAATCCCAGATCTTGGGAGGTAGAGGCAGGTAAATGTCTTGAGTTGAAGGCCAGCCTGGTCTATAGAGTGAGTTCCAGAACAGCCAGAGAAACCCTGTCTAGGGGGTGGGGGGTGATTTATGAAGTCAGTCTGATAACAGAAATAGGATTCTAGGAAATAACTTGACATTTTTAGATACTAACATACTGTGTATTTTTCTGTTCTATTAAAGGACATTGCCCTAAAAACAAAAGAAATCTTCACCAACCTGGCACCATTTTCAGAAGTGTCAGATGACGGGGGAAAGATTGTCCTCAGTGTTGAGGCACTGAAGCAAAAGCGATTCCCACCTGCAACAGAGAACTTCCTTTACCATCTAGCAGCAGCTGAACAAATGCTGAAGATATGACTGTCCACAGCAAGCCCTACAGAACTTCCCTTTCATTCCGAGTACCCAGTGGCATTATATAGTATTGGAATTACAGAGGAAATGTTCTATTTTTAATGGTTTATTTCCAAGTATTGAGATCTGACCTGAGAAACACATAAAAACAATCGTCCTTTTTTTCTCCCTGCCAATTTGATCCAGTGCTAGACAGTGTTTTAACTGCTGTCCTAATGGTAGGAGCCATACGCTGTCCCAGAGTTTAAGAGTCGCACACAGATTAACACATGCAAGCCTTCATTGTGTACCCGTTTGTCTCACTGTAGCCATACACTTAACGGTTTATTTTCAGAAAGCTGCCTCACAGTTTGCTTTTTATTCTTCTAGGAAAAAACTTGAATTCCTCATGGGAGATTTTACTTTCTGAGCCAAACTGCTATGTTTTCTGCAGAATTATCTAGAATATCATTCAAGAGATAGTGCAGTTGCACTTTCTTGTAATAGAAAATGTTTTGGGGCCTTTGAAAATTTTGCCTGTATTATACAGGTTTTTCATAGATTTTGTACTTGAGTAGACAGTTCCAATAACCCTTAGATGTAAGCATTCAGCAAAACATCAGCCATTGGTACTCTTGGACTAACTGCTGTTGGCAGTGCCTTTGGGAAAGAAGCCAGTCCCTGTAACAGGAGCCCTTTTAAATGTAAGAAAGAACCCTCTGTTCTTGTTGGCAGTGCTGGAGCTAGAACCTGGGGCCTTGCATACGCCAGGCAGATGCTTTCCCACCAAGCTAAACCCCCAGCCCAATATCCCTTTTTTTTCCAATATTTTTTTTTTCAATATTCTTTCATATATTGGTAAAGGAACATCAGAATCAAATTGCAGAGGCCAGACTAGACACTGTCTTCAGGTGACTACAGTAAAAGTAATCTGGCCACATCATAAAGGATACTGTTATTGGACCTTCTTTTTGTTTGTTTGTTTTGGGGTTTGGGGTGTTCCCCCCCCCCCCCAAGGTTTCTCTGTGTAGCCCTGGTTGTCCTGGAACTCACTCTGTAGACTAGGCTGGCCTCAAACTCAGAGATCTGTCTTCTTCTGCCTCCTGAGTGCTGGGATTAAAAGCGTGCTCCACCAGTGCCCAGCCTATTGGACCTTCTTAATTTGAGACCTTAAAATTGCCAAATAAGCACAAATGTCTAAATTAAGCATTCCTATGTCTATTCATGTTAATTATGAAAGGCCACTTTCCTTCAGTACAGTTGCAGAACCTTCAAACCTTATCAGGAAACATGTCTACTGGGTGTTTCTGCTGGGCGTGGTGGTGCACACCTTTAATCCCAGCACTTAGGAGGCAGAGGCAGGCAGATCTTTGTGAGTTCGAGGCCAGCCTGATTTACAAAGTGAGTTCCAGGACAGCTAGGGCTGTTACACAGAGAAACTTTGTCTCAAAAAAGTTAGGTCTTTTTAAAACCTTATTGTTAGACATTTAAGTAAAAATAAAAAAATAGCCTTTCCCTCTTGTCCTTGGGTGGGAACAGAGAGGACCTGAAATAAGTTGTTTACTGGAGCTAACAATTGAAGATTAAATTTGCACTTTATGAAAAGAACTGCTGGTATCTTTGTCATTTTCTCCCTTTTCTTGCAATACTGTACAAATTACAAAATTATGATGCAATAGAAACATTTTCATAAAGTTTTAAGTAGTAGTAAGGAAGTCTTCCATCTGGAGATTTTGCCCATCTTGTAGTATTTTTGTGTTTTAATTTATGTGTATGACTTTTGCCTACATATATGTTCATGCACCACTTGAATACCTAGTGCTCATGGTGGTCAGAGGCATTGGCTTTCCTAGGGCTGGAATTATAGATGGTTGTGAGCCAAACCTGGGTCCTCTGCAAGAATAAGTGTTATTAACTGCTGAGAAATCTCTCTAGTTCCTACCTTTTATTTATTTTTTGAGACAGGGTCTCACTATGTAGTTCTGGCTGGCCTTGAACTTGTTACATAGGCCAGGCTGGCCTCAAACTCAGAGGTCTGCCTGCCTCTGCCTCCTGGGTGCTGGAGTTATAGATGTGGTTACTACACTTGACTACCTCTTTTTTTTTTTTTTTTTTTTAACCCTCCTACTTATCCTGAGCTTTTCCCACACACAAAAAAAGATGTTTAACTGGGCGGTGGTGTCGCACCCCTTTAATCCCAGCATTTAGGAGGCAGAGGCAGGCGGATCTCTGTGAGTTCAAGGCCAGCCTGGGCTACAAAGCGAGATCCAGGAAAGTCACAAAGCTACACAGAGAAACCCTGTCTCGAAACCCCCCCCCCCCCAAAAGTGTTTATTTGTTTATATGTTTGTGTGTATACCATATGTGGGGGTGTCAGAAGAGGGTGTTGGATCTTCCTAGAGCTGGAGTCACAGCAGCCACATGGGTGCTGAGAACAGAACTCATGAAAGAGCATCAAGCACACCTAAATGCTGAACCACTTCTCTAGCCTATGGTTCTCTACCTTTAGTTCTGTGCCACTGAGCCATGTGGTAGGTCACTTGCTGATTTTGTCTTTTGGGGCTGCTGTGATACTTTTTTAAAACCCAATTTTGGAATAATTGTCCTGCAGACAGGGAAACTGAAAAAGCATAGACACCGGTGAGTTTAGCGTGGAAACATCACTGCAGTAACCAAATGTGTGTATGTTCTCCAATGACAGTCTGCTAGGAAATAGGACCAGTCAACAGTTCTTGTGGTAGTGTGGCCAGGACCAGATCTGATAAGAGAAACAAGGAGCTATGGGCACCTGTGGAAGAGGTACCTTGCTCAGTACTGTGAGCTCTCAAGGCCACCACAGCTTCTGTAAAGGATCAGAAAAGCCCACATGTGGGGCACTTGCAGGTCAAAAGAGAGAATGGCAAGAGATGAGTAAGAGGCTTTCCAAGGGTGTTTGGGTTAGAATTTGGTCTCCAAACACAAGCAGGAAGGTTCAGAGAGCAGCCAGAGCAAGCCAAAAAGCCACAAGGCAATGCCAACAGGGGGTGCTATTGCACTGAACTGAGGCTGCACCTAAAGCCTTGGGTTCTTAACACATGAAATTATGCCCTTCTGGGGTGAGCGGTATTGTAGCTTGAGTTTTCCTGCCTGGCCCACAGTCAGGGCAAATCTCTCTCACCCGCCAGTCCCACAGCCACTCAGACCCGACCAAGTAAACACAGAGACTTATATTGGTTACAAACTGTATGGCCATGGCAGGCTTCTTGCTAACTGTTCTTACAGCTTAAATTAATCCATTTCTATAAATCTATACCTTGCCACATGGCTTGTGGCTTACCGGCATCTTCACATGCTGTTTCTCATCATGGCGGCTGGCAGTGTCTCTGACTCAGCCTTCCACTTCCCAGCTTTATTCTCCTCCTTGTCCCGCCTACACTTCCTGCCTAGCCAATGGCCAATCAGTGTTTTATTTATTGACCAATCAGCAACACATTTGCCATACAGAATATCCCACAGCACGGTATAGGTATCAAGGCATCTTTCAGACACAGCTGGGTAAATGATGACACCATTCTCCAAGACTGGTAGGGAGCTGAACTAAAGCATCGGTGAGTTCTATGGAGCATCTAATTCCCAAGTACATTGGGGCAACTTTTGGGAGTCTGAGGGGCTGGCAGAATGGCAATCCAGCCTTGGATGGGGTTTGGGTGAGAACCATCTCAGCAGAATGTAGACTGTGGCCAACAGCACTTAGAAAGTCTGGGTAAGGTCTGAGTTTGAGGTTAGCCCAGTCTACTGTGAGTTCCAGGACAGCCAGGGCTACACAGAGAAACCATCTTGAGGAAGAGGAGGGGAAGAAAGGAGGAAGAATCTGAAGAGAGGGATGGAGGGACGGAGGGATGGAGGGACGGAGGGAGAGGGAAATATGGAGGAAGTCTGGTTAGGAAAGATGTATTGCTTTTTTGATGAGGCAAGTGACTGGCAGTATCAATGCTCCTGGGAGTAGCCTACAAAGAAGGAGATGTGCCATCTTCCAGTGGCTACAGAGCAAGGCCCAGAAGAAGGGAAATGGTTATCCCTGAGAAAGCTGACCTTGTATAGACCTAGACTGATGTTGGAAAGGAAGCTTTTGCTGGCAAGGGGCCTTGGTTATTAAAGAAACAGAAGTGTCGGGTCCTGTCAATCAGAAACCAGGGAAGCAGACAGAATACTTGCAGTGTAGGATCAGATGAAATAAGAAGGGAAACAGGATTACTTTAGGGACTAGAAGCCTTAATGAGTTCACCAGAGCTTTGTGTCTTCCTGAGGCTATCTATGTAGTGTTTGTATCCCAGACCAGGTGTACCTTTTGACTCTACTTTTTCAAGTACTCAACTTCAGAAAAGTTTATTCACAGGTTCACACTGTCCCTTCCCAGGCTGATTCTCACTTCATCCACTGTTCCTTCAGCAGTCCCCTGGATGTTGCTCTTCTTTCAGTTAGCCTCAAAACCCCAGGTACAGTGGGGTTGGAAGCTAGCTTGCTGCACAGGAATTGCTGGGAGCCCTGAGAACCATGGCAGTGCTCTCCAACTAACCTTGAGGAGTCAAAGATTTCCAAACAGGAACCAAACTTGCCCTTATACCCCTCTGTTATAGAAGAGTTCTTTTTCTTCTGTAGAAGACTGAATCTCTTTTTCAAGCTGACTATACTGGATCTGAAAGACAAGGTCAAATTCTTTATATTCATGCTTAACTTCTGTCTCAAAGGCCATGTTTTAAAAAGTTCTGAAAGCACCTGTTTTCACATAATTCCCAATGATACCTAGTTGATAGCAGGAAGTACCATTTCTTAGAACTATTTATTGCTTGTTTATTCATTTACTTTAGTTTTTTTGAAACAGCATTTCTTTGTGTACACCTGGCTATTCTGGAACTCACTCTGCAGACCAGGCTGGCCCCAAATCCACAGAGATCCACCACCACCACCCAGCTCTTAGAACTTTTTAAATGGAAATTTTCAAATACAGAGGGAACATAATCAGCTTTTGTGCACTCATCATTCAGCAATAGCTATGAAGAGTCTACTGATCTGACTTCCTCAAGCACTTACCATACCCATAAGTGTAGCAGTGGTGAGGGATGGAGTGATCCCCTTTCTCTGGTTTTGGGGACAGGCTCTTGATGTGGAGGCAAGACTGGCCTTGAACTTAGTCTCCTGCCTCAGCCTCTAGAATGCTGTTAATACAAAGATACACCTGGCTCCTTGAGCATTTTAAGGCAATTCTCAGGTGTATCATTTCACCTACAAATACTCCAGTATGAAATTACAGACTTCCTGTTATCATATACACAAAAAGGAGAGTTATCATACCTAGCAAATGTTAGCAGTGAACCCCTAACAGCCAATGCTTATTTCCAGTCTTTCAAGGTTGGATGTACTCAGCTGATGGCAAGCAGTGGAGCTCTGAAGGGACAGGATCCCTTATAAGGATCCTTGAAGTTCCAGAAAGGTACTACAGGGATATCTGAGGAGATGCTGAACCCCTCTCAGCCTTAGAATGGCCAAACAAGGCAGGGTACCCCAACAGCACAAGACCACCACTGGAGCATCTCCACCACCCACCTAGAGCCAACAGGTACCTTCAAGGTCCAGTGACTCTCTGGAGCAATGCTGGGATACAGACGCTGAGATTCAGCCTCCACGCCTGGCAAGGCTCCTACATGACCCCTTCAAGCCCACTGCTTGTTTCCTCAGCCTGGTGGTGCAGTGCTGACTTTAGTCTCAGCATCTTGTCAGTCCTGTGGGGTCATGCTGTCCACTCCTCCCTCCTGCTCTTCCACTGGGAATGCATTCTTTTCAGTCCCATCTCTGCCTGTGAAAGTCCAGCCATTTCCAGAGGCTCCCTCCTCCAAGAAGCCTTCCTTAGTTCTAATCATTCTGTTTATGTTTACTTTCTGTCATGAAAGAGTAATGTGCATATATATATATATATATCTCCTTTCCTGCAAGAGCATGTGATAGATCCTATCGCTGACCTCAGGGTCTTTCCTCTTCCACATCATCAGAGGCCTTTTGTTATTATAAATTTGTGGGTGTACATTCGTATGGAGGTCAGAGGATAACCTTCAGGAGTCAATTTTCTCCTTATGTCTCAGGGACTGGACTCAGGTCTTTAGGCTTGGTGGCAAACACCTCTATCTGCTAAGTCATCCCAGTAGCCCACGAGCTGAGTTTTAAACAGGCACAGAACAAATCTCTAAAGCAATGATTCTTGGCACAGATACTGTCTTCAACTCCCTTCAACAGACAAGGAAGCTGAGAAAACTGACCAACATGATGGAGAAGCTGGGCATTTTAACAGGCAGAAATCATAAATACATTGTTTTTTTTTGTTCTTGGTTTTTCAAGACAGGGTTTCTCTGTGTAGCTTTGCACCTTCCCTGGAACTCACTCTGTAGCCCTGGCTGCCTTCGAACTCACAGAGATCCACCTACCTCTGCCTCCCGAGTGCTGGGATTAAAGGCGTGCACCACCACCACCTGGCTTTTGTTTGTTTGTTTGTTTGTTTTTGTTTTTCGAGACATGGTTTCTCTGTGCAGCTTTGCGCCTTTCCTAGAACTCGCTTTGTAGACCAGGCTGGCCTCAAACTCACAGAGATCCGCCTGCCTCTGCCTCCGAGTGCTGGGATTAAAGGCGTGCGCCACCACTGCCCATCTCCATAAATACATTGTATTGTTATACATAATGAATCATCTATAGAACCATGCCCCCTATGTGAATACATATGTTAAAATGAGAAGGTTTGTGGGCTAGGATAACTCAGTGGTAACACACTTGTCTAAAATAGGCAAGGCCATAGGTACAGTCTCCAGCACTGAAAAGTAGTAATAAAATAAAATTTAGTGCATTAGTCTCAGTGGCTGTATTTTAAGCACTCAGCAGCCATATGTGGCCAGTGTTTGCCACATTGGGACAGAGCATGGATCACTGCCTTACTGCAGGAAGTCCCACTGCATAACATGACTATACAGCTTGATAGATGACCTAAAAGTTCTTTAGAGTTTTTCCTCAAATGGCCGAAAGACATTTAAGGAATTGCTCAACATCCCTAATCATCAGGGAAATGCAAATCAAAACAACTCTGAGATACCACCTTACGCCTGTCAGAGTGGCTAAGATCAAAAACACTGAAGACACATTATGCTGGAGAGGATGTGGAGCTAGGGGAACCCTCCTCCACTGCTGGTGGGAATGCAAGCTTGTACAACCACTTTGGAAATCAATATGGTGCTTTCTTAGAAAATTGGGAATCCATCTCCCCCAAGATCCAGCTATACCACTCTTGGGCATATACCCAAGGAATGCTCAACCACACCATAAGAGCACTTGTTCAGCTATGTTCATATCAGCATTGTTTGTAATAGCCAGAACATGGAAACAACCTAGATGCCCTTCAACTGAAGAATGGATAAACAAAATGTGGTACATATACACAATGGAATACTACTCAGCAGAGAAAAACAATGACATCATGAGGTTTGCAGACAAATGGATGGATCTAGAAAAAATCATCCTGAGTGAGGTAACCCAAACTCAGAAAGACAAACATGGTATGTACTCACTCATAGCAGGATACTAGATGTGGAACAAGGATGACTTGTCTGCTACTCACATCACCAGGGAGTCTACCTGGAAAACAGGACTCCAAGAAAGACACGGGGATTGCCCAATGACAGAGAAATGGAATGAGATCTACATGAACAGCCTGGACATGAGTGGGGGTAGTGCAAGGCGAGGGTCGAGGGAAAGAGAGCTTGGGGGAGCGGGAGATCCCAGCTGGATCAACAACAGAGAGAGAGAACAAGGAATAGGAGACCATGGTAAATGAAGACCACATGAGAATAGGAAGAAGCAAAGTGCTAGAGAGGCCCACAGAAATCCACAAAGATACCCACACAACAGACTGCTGGCAATGGTCGAGATACAGCCCGAACTGACCTACTCTGGTGATGGGATGGCCAAACACCCTAATTGTAATGCTAGAAACCTCATCCAACTACTGAGGGATCTGGATGCAGAGATCCATGACTAGGCCCTGGGTGGATCTCTGGGAGTCCAATTAGCGAGAATGAGGAGGGTTTATATGAGCGAGAATTGTTGAGACCAAGGTTGGATAAAGCACAGGGACAAATAGCCAAGTGAATGGAAACACATGAACTATGAACCAATGGCTGAGGGGTCCCCACTGGATCAGGCCCTCTGAATGGGTGAGACAGTTGATTGGCTTGATCTGTTTGGGAGGCATCCAGGCAGTGGGACCGGGTCCTGTGCTCATTGCATGAGTTGGCTGTTTGAAACCTGGGGCCTATGCAGGATTGCTTGGCTCGGCCTGGGAGGAGGGGACTGGACCTACCTGGACTGAGTCTACCAGGTTGATCTCAGTCTGTGGGGAAGGCTTTGCCCTGGAGGAGATGGGAATGGGGGGGGCTGGGGGAAAGTGAGGGGGACGGGAGGGGGGAGAACAAGGGAATCTGTGGCTGATATGTAGAACTGAATTGTATTGCAAAATAAAAAAAAATAAATATGATTGATGGAACACTAAAAAAAACCAAATTAAAAAAAGTTCTTTAGAGTTTTTCAAAGATTTGTGTGTTGATTGATTGATTGATTGATTAGTTTATTCATAAACTTTGAGAGAGGGTTTCGTGAAGCCCAAGATGGCCTCAAATTCACTATATCCAAGGAAAACCTTGGGCTTCTACCTCCTGGGATTATAGGAGTGTGCCACCATGCATGGTTTATGTGGTGCTGGGGATCATACTCCTGGCTTTGTGATGCTAGGAAAGCATTTTACAAACTGAGCAACATCCCCAGCTCATAAAGTTTTTAGTTGTTTTGTTTTGCTTTGTTTGTTGTTTTTGAGACAAGGTTTCTCTGTGTAGTCCTGGCTGTCCTGGAACTCTCTCTGTAGATCAGGCTATCCTAAAACTCAGATTTGCCTGCCTCTGCCTCCCAAGTGCTAGGATTAAAGCTGTGCACCACCACCACCTGGCTAAAATTATTTCTTTTTTTTATAATTTACTTTTATTTTATGTGCATTGGTGTTTTGCCTGCATATCTGTGTAAGGATGTCAGGTTCCCTAGAACTGGAGTTACAGACAGTTGTGAGCTGCCATATGGGTGCTGGAAATTGAACCAAGGTTCTCTGGAAGAACAGTCAGTGCTCCCAACTGCTGAGCCATCTCTCCAGCCCCTAAAATTATTTTTTATACTCCTACATGTCACAGACCATAAGGAATATACAGCAGATGACAACTGATATTCATAAGGTCAACCCACCAGATGAATAACTCTGATGGAGGAACCTCATCAAGCAAGGCTTATGGGGCCACTGCCTATGGATGCTGTTTTGCTTCTGTCTATAATTTCCCTCATGTGCCACTACATTTCTTCCCTAAAAACAGCTATGGGTATTACCCCTCCACCCCCCACCTGTGCATTTATCTTGTGAATACATTTCATCTACTGGGGCATATATATCTGTAGATGGTCAGGAAGATGATTTCTTCTTAAGCTGTATAATTTTGGTGAATAGAAATAATATTAGGATTTTTTCATAGCTCAGGCTGACATAGGAAAATAACAGTATTCTCAGCTTCAAAGACAGCTTTTTACACAATTAGCTGATTTAAGACCTCAGAGCAAATTCAAAATAGACTAGTTGCCCCTACAAATGAATCACACAAGGACAGATTCCTAAGTGTCTGGTTGTTGAACCAAGGTCAGACATGAAGCAACTTTAGTGCCAGTTCTTTGCCTGTAAAAGTCTGGCTGATAGCATTAAAGGCATAGCTCTCTGCACATAAAATTATCTCAGCAATTGACTCTGTATGAACTTCTTTCTTTCTTTTCTTTTTTGGTTTTTCGAGACAGGGTTTCTCTGTATAGCTTTGGAGCCTTTCCTGGAACTTGCTCTGTAGCCCAGGCTGGCCTTGAACTCATGGAGATCTGCCTGCCTCTGCCTCTCAAGTGCTGGGATTAAAGGCGTGTGCCACCACCGCCCGGCTCTGCATGAATTTCTTTTTTTTTAGATTTATTTATTATGTATACAGCATGTATGACCAGAAGAGGGCACCAGACCTATTACAGATGGTTGTGAGCCACCATGTGGTTGCTGGGAATTGAACTCAGGACCTCTGGAAGAGCAGTCAGTGCTCCTAACCTCTGAGCCATCTCTCCAGCCCATCTGCATGAATTTCTAATCTCAGTTTATGATACAAGACTCAAGGTTCAGCCAACTGACTGTTTATGTTTAGGTCCTGGGATGCTTTTAAGGTCACTGTCCCTTGAAGAAGTGCTGAAGTACTGGGCATTACATGCCTCCCTCCTGCTCACCAAGAAGTAAAGCACAATCCTAATTAGTCTTAACAATAAAAACCTGGAGTCAGATATCGAGGGTGAAAGCTGAAAGATCACAGAAGCAGAGCAGCCAGCCACTTAGAGACATTTTACCTCTACCTAGTCTCAGACCAAATGGGAGAGATCCTGTCTCTATGAAACCTCAGAGTGAATGAATGGGCCTTGTTTATAAGAATCCTCAGACTGAATGGATGAGAGACCCTGTCTCCACCCTGTAGTTGAAAGTTTTCCTGTGTCCCGCCCAGTCTGCAGCTGCTCAGACCCAAGTAAACACACAGAGGCTTATATTTATTAAAACTGCTAGGCCATTAGCTCAGGCTTCCTACTGACTAACTCTTACACTAAACTCAGCCCATTTTTGTTTATCTATATGTTGCCACATGTTTTGTGGCTTTACCTGTGTCATTACATGCTGCTCCCTGGATGGTGGGCTGGTGTCTCCTTACTCAGCCTTCCTCTTCCCAGAATTCTCCTTGTCTGCTTATCCCACCTATACTTCCTGCCTGGCTACTGGCCAATCAGCATTTTATTAAACCAGTGTACAAAAGCATTATCCCACAGCATCACCTAATAAAATTTGCCTGAAGATCAGAGAACAGAACAAGCCACTAGATTAAACATAGATGTCAGGCAGTGACACCTTTAACCCTAGCACTTGGGAGACAGAGATCCAGCTAGATATCTGTGAGTTCAAAGCCACCCTGAACTACATGAGATTGACTCCATCTAGGAGAGAAAACAGAGCCAGGTATTGGTGGCACACACCTATGGTGATATTTTATTTGTACTAAAATGTGATTTGTATGTTAATAAATAAAGTTGCCCGGGGGTCAGAGCTATTAGAGCCATAGCAAAAGCTGGGCGGTGGTGGTGCACGCCTTTAATCCCAGCACTTGGTAGGCAGAGCTAGGTAGATCTCTGTGTGTTCAAGGATACAGTCAGCATTGGAGACACATGCCTTTAATCTCAATACCAACCATAGAAGACCTGGAGGTCTGTACAGAGAGGCAGTGACTAGAAGGTCATGTGGTTGGGTTTACAACCAATGAGAAGGCAGAACAAACTCTATAAATAAAGACAAACACACAGGAAGTAGGTCTCTTTCAGAGAGGCAGAACCACTGCAAGAGGAAGGGTAAGGTTTTTAGCTCTTAGCTCTGACCTCTTGGCTTTCTTCTTTGTATTGGTTCTGTGTTTCTTACTTAATAAGACAGTTGGTTACATCTACACACACTTTTAATCCCAGTGCTGGGAAGCACATACACCTTTAATCCCAGGAAGTGATGGCTGGATGGAGAAAGGTATATAAGGCCTGAGGAGACAGGAACTAAAGGCTTTTCGGCAGAAGCATCCCTTTCAGCTAGAGGCTTTTTCAGCTAAAGCCTTTTGGATGAGGACTCAGAGGATTTCTCAGAGGATTCATGGAGCTGGTAAGGTGAGATGTGGCAATGGCTTGTTCCTTTGTCTCTCTGATCTTTCAGCATTTACCCCAATATCTGACTCCAGGCTTTAGTTGAAAGACAAATTTAACAATTCATGTTACATACATAAGAATTATGGGTTAAACGTAAGAGCTGGTTAGGAATAAGCCTGAGCTTCCAGCTGAGCTTTTATAAGTAATATTAAGCCTCTGAGACAATTATTTAAGAAGTAGCAGCCAGGTATTTGAGAGTTGCTGGTTGGACACAGAAACTTCTACCTACAAGGAGGGAAGATTTTTGAGAGAGAAAGATTTTTCAAGATGAAGTAAAAGAGAAAGTTACCATCAGAACATGTGTGTTTCTTTCTTAATATCCCTCTGATAGAAAAAGGTTTTGGATTTTTTTGTAAACCCTGAGTGCACTCTTGGGGCAGGATCTCTAAAGACTATACAATACCTACAAACTCCTCTAATGGGAAGCTGTGGGGGCTCTTACCTGTCCAATTTGTGGAACATGCTGAATGACGCCGGCAATATAAGTTCCATCATAAGGAGGTAAACCCATTCCCATGATCACCAATGACAACAAAGTTTGTGGGGAAAACCCAGTCCTGTAAGAGGCAAGGCATAGCTCACAAACAGTGCTCAACACTTTGGACCTCTTTTCTGAAGCAGTCCTTCTGCTTAAATGGTGGCTGATTCGGCTCAGCATGCAGCTATAGGCCTATGCCTGGGTCACTGCACAACCACCCATTAGCAGGCCCTAAAAGACACATGGACTCAGCTCTGGATATAGTTTATCTACTCAGACCTTTCACAGAAATGTAGGAATGGGCATTGACTAGTCAGATTGAGCAACTTGTCAAAACTCCCGAGCCAAAAGTGATAGTTCAGGTTCTAGAGCATGTGACTCAAATGGTCTTGTGTAATAGTTAGTTAGTTTGTTTGTTTTTGAGACAGGGTTTCTCTGTGTAGCTCTGGCTGTCTTAGAACTAGCTCTGTAGACCAGGATAGCCTTTAAATCAGAGATCTGCCTGACTCTGCCTTACTTATTAAAGGCATGCGCCATTACTGCCTGGCTGTGTGATATTCTTTAGAGAATGGAAGGAGCAGTATGGTAATATTCATAGAACTCCAGTCTGGGGAGTCAGAGACCTGAGGCCACATAAAGGCTACATGTGCCACTCTGTAGGCAGAACACATGCTCAATGGGAATTCCCTTGCCCTTCTAAGCCTTTTTTTTTTTTTTTTTTGAGATTCAAAAACAGGAAACTGAGATAGAAGATCTACAAGATGCTCTACTATGGATGCCATGTGCTGTCTAGCTCTGGGACACTGGTTCTGTGAGATCACCTAATGGCTCTGTCTTTCAGACTTCACTCCACTCCCTGGAAACAGATTCCACTCTAACGCCACAGAAATCCTATGTCATTCATTCATATATAACCAGGATTCCAGCTCTGACAGAGCTTCAGGATTGAGGCTGGTCAGAACAGCCCAGGAAGATTCAAACTGAGCAAGTCTCTTCATCCATCTGGCTGGCTCTCCTGTGGGAATGAGCAGTTGGCTCTGCCCAGGGCATTTCCTTATCTCCTGAAATGTGCCTCATATGGGGTGCTAGATGGGCTTCTCCTTTTTTTTTTTTATTAAAAGAGTTTCTATTCATTTTACATACCAACCACAGATTCCCCTGTCCTCCCTCATCTGGCCCCTCAGCATTTCCTCCAACCCACCCCCCTTTCCCGCCTCCTCCAAGACAAGAACTCCCCTGGGGAATCAGCAGAGCCTGGTACATTCAGTTGAGGCAGGTCCAAGCCCCTCCTCCCTGCACCAAGGCTGTGCAAAGTGTCTCACCTTAGGCACTAGGTTCCAAAAAGCCAGCTCATGCACTAGGAACAGGTCCCGATCCCATTGCCTGGGGCCCCCCTAAACAGTTCAAGCTAAACAATTGTCTCACTTATCCAGAGGGTCTAGTCCAGTACCATGGGGGCTCCTCAGCTATTGGTCTACAGTTCATGTGTTTCCACTAGTTTGGCTAGTTGTTTCTGTACTTTTTCCAATCATAGTCTTGATATCCCTTGCTCACAGAATCTCTCCTCTCTCTCATCTATTGGACTCCTGGAGCTCTGCCTGGGACCTGGCTGTGAATCTCTGCATCTGCTTCCTTCAGTCACTGGATGAGGGTTCTATGATGACAGTTAGGGTATTCAGCCATCTGATCACCAGAGTAGGCCAGCTCAGGCACCCTCTCAACTAATTGCCAGTAGTCTATAGTGGAGTCATCCTTGTGGATTCCTGGGAACCTCCCTAGCACTCTACTTCACCCTATTCCCATGGTGCCTTCATTTATCATGGTATCTCTTTTCTTGCTCTCCCACTCTGTTCTCATTCCAGCTCGAACCTCCCACTCCTCTAAGCTCTCATCCCCCATTCCTTGCCCTCCATTAACCCCCCTCACCCCTGGCTTGCTCATGTAGATCTCATCTATTTCTCCATCATTGGGTGATCCATGTGCCTTTCCTAGGGTCCTCCTTACTAGGTAGCCTCCCTGGAGCTGTGGGTTGCAGTTTGGTTATCCTTTACTTTATATCTAGTATCCACTTATGAGTGAGTACATACCATGTTTGTCCTTCTGAGTCTGGGTTACCTCATTCAGGATGATATTTTCTAGTTCCATTTATTTGCCTCCAAACCTCATGATGTCATTGTTTTTCTCTGCTGAGTAGTACTTCATTGTGTATATGTACCACATTTTCTTTATTCATTCTTCAGTTGAGGGGCATCTAGGTTGTTTCCAGGTTCTGGGTATTACAAATAATGCTGCTATGAACATAGATGAGCATGTGTACTTGTGGTATGATTGAGCATTCCTTGGGTATATGCCCAAGAGTGGTATAGCTGGGTCTTGAGCAAGATTGATTCCCAATTTTCTGAGAAACTGCCATACTGATTTCCAAAGTAGCTGTACAAGTTTGCATTCCTACCAACAGTGGAGGAGTGTTCCCCTTGCTCCACATCCTCTCCAACATAAGCTGTCTCAGTGTTTTTTATCTTAGCCATTCTGACAGGTGTAAGATGGTATCAACATTGTTTTGATTTGCATTTCCCTGATGACTAAGGATGTTGAGCAATTCCTTAAAATGTCTTTCAGCCCATTTGAGTTTCCTCTGTTGAGAATTCTCTGTTTAGCTCTATAACCCCCCCCCCTTTTTTTAAATTGGACTGTTAGGTGTTCTGATGTCTAGTTTCTTGAGTTCTTTATATATTTTGGAGATCAGCCCTCTGTCAGATGTGGGGTTGGTGAAGATCTTTTCCCATTCTGAAGGCTGTCATTTGGTCTTATTGACAATGTCCTTTGCTCTACAAAAGCTTCTCAGTTTCAAGAGGTCCCATTTATTAATTGTTGCTCTCAGTGTCCGTGCTACTGGTGTTATATTTAGGAAGTGATCTCCAGTACCAATGAGTTCAAGACTACTTCCTACTTTCTCTTCTATCAGGTTCAGGGTAACTGGATTTATGTTGAGGTCTTTGATCCACTTGGACTTAAGTTTTGTGCATGGTGACAGATATGGATCTATTTGCATTCTTCTACATATTGACATCCACTTATGCCAGCACCATTTGTTGAAGATGCTTTCTTTTTTCCATTGTACAGTTTTGGCTTCTTTGTCAAAAATTAGGTGTTCATACCTGTGCTGATTATTGTCAGAGTCTTCAATTCGATTCCATTGGTCCACATGTCGATTTTTATGCCAGTACCAAGCTGTTTTTATTACTGTAGCTCTATAGTAGAGCCTGAAGTCAGGGATTGTGATGCCTCCAGAGGTTGCTTTGTTGTACAAGATTCTTTTAGCTATCCTGGGTTTTTTGGTTTTCCATATGAAGTTGAGTATTATTCTTTCCACGTTTGTGAAGAATTGTGTTGGGATTTTGATGGGGATTGCATTGAATCTGTAGATTGCTTTTGGTAAGATTGCCATTTTTACTATGTTAATACTACCTATCCATGAGCATGGGGGATCTTTCCATTTCCTGATATCTTCTTCAATTTCTTTCTTCAGAGACTTAAAGTTCTTGTCATACAGGTCCTTCACTTGATTAGTTAGTTACTCCAAGGTATTTTATATTATTTGTGGCTATTGTAAAGGATGATGTTTCTCTGATTTCTTTCTTAGTCCTTTTATCATTTGTATATAGGAGGGCTACTGATTTTTTTGAGTTAATCTTGTATCCTGCCACATTACTGAAGGAGTTTATCAGCTGTAGGAGTTCCCTGGTAGAATTTTTTGGGTCACTTATGTACACTATCATATCGTCTGCAAATAGTGAAAGTTTGATTTCTTCCTTTCCAATTTTTATCCCTTTGATCTCCTTTTGTTGTCTTATTGCTCTAGCTAGAACTTCAAGTACTATATTGAATAAATATTGGGAGAGTGGACAGCCTTGTCTTGTTCCTAATTTTAGTGGAATCGCTTTGAGTTTCTCTCGATTTAATTTGATGTTGGCTGTCGGCTTGCTGTAAATTGCCTTTATTATGTTTAGGTATGTTCCTTGTATTCCTGATCTCTCTAAGACCTTTATCATGAAGGGGTGTTGGATTTTCTTAGAAGTTCCACGATGGACTGAGTAGCTGGTTCAGGATAGACATGTGACTACCATATGCTTATAGAAAGCTCTAGAGTCTCCTATCTGAACAAAGACAGATAGGCCTCCAGACTTTGCTGTAAGGCTCTCTGATGGAGAGGCTATGAGGTGGCCAGGAAATGATAGGCAGTTGTGCCTCTCTTCAGCATAAGCATCCACTTTAGCCGAAGACTTCCAACACCACAGAGCTGAAGAAAAGTTAAGCATCCAGCAGAGGAACTCCAGATCCAGGACTATAGACTATCCTGCCTGTGTCAGATACCTATCCCTGTAACTGCAGGCTGTGTTTCTCACTTGGCAATCACAGTTGCCAGAGAAAGACCCCCAGGATCTCTGCCTACAACAGGCCTTTTTTTCTTTTGAGACAGAATGGTCTCAAATTCACTATGTAGTCAAGTATAACCTTGAATTTCTCATCTTCCTGCCTCCACCTTCCAAGTGCAAGGATTATAGGTATGTGCTACCAGTGTGGTGGTATTGTGTTCCCCAAAATATTGTGTACCTTAATAAACTTATCTGGGGTCAGAGAACAGAAAAGCCACAAGATACTTAGGCTAGAAAATGTTAGCACACGCCTTTAATCCTAGCATTCCAGAGACAGAAATCCCTCTGGATCTCTGTGAGTTCAAGGCCTCATTAGAAACAGCCAGGCATGCTGACTCACGCCTTTAATCCCAGAAAGCAGCCTTTAATCCCAGGGAGTGGTGGTAGAAAGCAGAAAGGTTTATAAGGCGTGAGGACCAGAAACTAGCAGCATTTGCCTGGTTAAGTATTTGACTGGTTAAGTGTTCAGGACTTCTAGCAGCAGTTCAGCTGAGAGCCATTGGGATGAGGACACAGAAGCTTCCAGTCTGAGGAAACAGGACCAGCTGAGGAATTGGCAAGGTGAGATAGCTGTGGCTTGTTTTGTCTCTGATCTACCAGCATTGACCCCAATAACTGGCCTCAGGTTTGATTTTATTAATAAGAACTTTTAAGATTCATGTTACATGCCATGCAATTTGTGAGATGCCTGGGGTCAAATCCAGGCTTTGTGCAGGCTGGACAAGCACTCTATCCATAGCTCTTTAGCCCTAGCCTCTTGACATACCATTTCTTGTTTCACCAAAGGAATGTCAGTCTACTGGATTAGAAGCAATTTGATCTGTTAAAGCACACTGAAGTCAGGGAAGGGAAGATTGAGCATTGTTCATAACACATCAGAGTTGGGAAAACTTGAAGATCATCCCACTCTATTCTGTGTACAGAGGGAGAATGTGGTTTGTGGACATGTCCAGAGATAGAGCTAACCAAGGGGAAGGAGCCTAGGCTCTAGGTTCATGCTGTAATACTTCTGGATTTCTCATCTCACAAATGAATTCTGTCTTACCTGGTCCATCTCATAGGAAGGCTGCAGAGGCCTTCATGTCTGCCCTTCCCACTAGGTTTGTGTTATGCAAGTTTGTAAGGGTTTGCTTTGTTTATTTTTTGTTTTGTTTTTAGATGTGTTTTGACAATGTAAGGAAAGGCCCCTCTTACCTTTTAAAGAAGTGGATAACGACTTCAGGGACCAAGGCTGAGGTCCCAAACAGCACTTCCATGGAGTGCTTCTCTTCCACTTCACTGCTTCTCTAATAGCCTGGTAGAAAGGCCAAGAGGACAGCTTAGTACCTGGAGGGAGACAATGTCCAGGGACCCCATCAGAAACTAGCGTATAGCAGCTCCTTTCTCACTGAGGAACAACTTACTGGAAAAGAGATGGAGGTGACACTTCATGGGTGCCTGTCCAGGGCCAGGTCTTCACAAGATGGCTGGGCTGGTGCTAGGAGGAAATGGGGAGGGATTTCACTTCTTTGACCCCACTGTGGTCATCATCAATCCATCAAAACATCCCCAATGAATCACCCAAAAGTACATATCAAGGCAGCTTCTAGACAAAGCCTTACCTAGAATGAACTAAAATAACAGACTCCATAGGCAATTCAGGATTTGCCCTGAATTTGGCTCATATTGCCTTTCAACCTTACCTCTGCCATCAGCCTCCTATTGTAACCTGCTCACCAGTGGTTCCCATCCTACCCTGGGGAATCTCACTAAAGCCAGCTGTGAGTACACTGGGCTACTCTCTAGGCAAGGATAACTGCCTACACCCAACTTTCATGTGTGTAACTAAAAGCAATGTGCTATAAAGGTCATATTTTACCTAGGCATGCATTTAAAGTTTGCAGCATTTTTTGGGGGGCTAAAGAGACAAGTCAGAGGTTAAAAACACTTGCTATTCTGAGTTCAGGTCTAAGCATCCACCACCCAGCATATTGCACAACTTGGAATCTGCCATGCTGCAGGCCAAGCCCACATGTCACAAACCCACCATAGAGTAGCTCAAGCCCGCATGTTGTGACGTCTCGCTGCTTACACGAAACATGAAGCAGGAACCTGTTTTTGGCTCCATTTAGCATTGCTTATTAAGTATTCTCAGGTTTCAGGTGGTAACTCAAGCTGTTGGGCACCATTTGTAACTGAAGTTTTCCTGGTCTTGCCCAGTTCCCATGGCCCTGTGGCCACTTGGACCCAAGTAAACACACAGAGGCTTATATTAATTAAAACTGCTCAGCCATTAGCTTAGGCTAACTATTGACTAGCTCTTACACTTAAATTAACCCATAATTCTTACTTATGTTAGCCACGTGGCTTGGTACCTTTACTCAGTTCTGCTTTCACATCTTGCTTCCTAGTTATGTCTAGTTGGTGACTCCTGACTCAGCCTTCCTCTTCCTAGAATTCTCCTCTCTGCTTATCCTGCCTATACTATACTTCCTGCCTGGATACTGGCCAATCAGCATTTTATTTATCAACCAAATCAGAGCAACACATTCACAGCACACAGAACGACATCCACAGCAAGGTACAAAGTAAAACTGCTTGGAGTTCAGAAGAGAATATAGGCTGTTGAGCATAGGCTGCTTCCACACTGGTGGGTCTCCTATCTGAACAAAGACAGAAAGGCCTCCAGGCTGCCACTCCCCACCTGCCCCATGTATAGAGGGAACACATTCCAGAAGGACACTTGTTAGCAGGAGGCACTGAGAGACTCACTCTGTGGCAAGTGAGAGGCTTACAAGGCCAGTGGGAGAAATCTACACTACCTAACCTGAAATTGAATCCAAGGTGCCTAATTATAATCCGATACTATTGGTTATGCAGTTCTGAAAGTTTAGCTAAGGAAAATAAATGTTTCAGTGACAGGGAGACCACAAAAGAATATGTATGCTTACACACAGTTGTGAACATTTTATTCTTAAGAGAAAGATAAACTTATTCTTTCACCCTCAACTGACCATCCTGCAGAAATGCAGTTTGTGATGGTGAGTTGGCCTGAGGATATCTTAACCCCTTGAGGATCATGAGGAGTAGGCATTGTTAGGCTTAGATTGACCATGGATATCCTGAGCCTACCATAGGCTTGCAGATAGGAGGAGCTAAGCAACAGGCTGATTAAAATCATGTTTTCTCCCTACTTTCCAGCTTTATAAATACTTCATGTACTTTATAAATACTAATAACTGGACATGAAAACTGAGCCAAAAAATGCAAAACACGTATCCACACAAACAACTGCTGCCGGTCATGGTTCAGAGCAGCCTTCTACATATGGATAGAAATGTGGGCCATCCAACAACAGATTACTAGACACTAAGAAGGAACAACTGAGAGAGGTGTGGTGGCCCAGGCCAGCAATCTCAGCACTTATGAAGTGGAAGCAGCAGGACCAGAAGCTCAATGTTATTCTCATGCTACATAACAAGTTTGAGGCCAGCCTAGGCTATATGAGAACCTGTCTCAAAACAAATAAAAACCAACAGTGAAAATGAAATACTGACTGAAATGGATTAGTTGCAAAAGCAAAAGAGGCCATACAAATGCTACTGTGTGATTCATTTACATGGATTTCTAAAAGAAGCAAACTGTGGAAGACACACATGCAGATTGGTGTTCCTCTGGGGTCAGGGGTGATTGAACTGACAGCAAGAAAAAGTTTAGGGTTAGAAATACTCCATAATCTGACTGACAGTAGAGATACTCACATGATTATTTAAACAGGCTAAAATGTACAGAACTATCCTTTTAGAATGGGTCAGTATTACAGTTCAGAGGTTATATCATGCTGAAGCTATGATAAAAATCTCTTCAGGATATTGTTTTAGGCCTAGAACCTTCACTTCAAACTCAAGACATTTTTCTTCTGGTAGTCATTTCTGTCTTTATTGCTTATGATGATCATGTCTCTATTATAATCATTCAGAAAAGGGACTAAGCTTCTATCCAGTCCAATCGAAATACTGCAGTCTGTGCTTAATGTTTATAATTCAGGCCTGTCAGTCATTGATAGGCCTTACAGAAATATTCAACAAGCTTGATAATGATGCTTTTAATGACTGTATAAATTGCAGCCCTTATTGATCTCATTTTCTACTGCCATACTGGGCAGTGGATTCCAGCTGGCTCTAAGTGTCTTCTGTGTACTGACACTGAGAAAAGCCCACTTATCTCCTTCTCTTTCTACTTCTTTACTTCCTGGTTGGTATTGTTCTTTATCTCATTTCCATAAAACTACCTCACATAACAACTTTGTGAGTTGTTTATAGCTGGGCATGTTGGCATTAAAAAAAGAAAAACCTACCAGGCAATGGTAGTACACACCTTTAATCCCAGAACTTGGGAGGCAGAGCTGTGATACCAGCTACTCAAAAGGCTGAGGCAAGAGGATCACAAGTTCAAGACCAGCCTGGGCTACACAGACCCAGTCTCAGAAACAAAAAAATACTCACCCTGGGGTTAAGGAAATGGCTCAGTGATTAAAAGCAGTTGCTACTCTTCTATAGGACGCAGGTTCAATTCCTAACACCTACACAACAGTTTACAACCTTCTGTAACTCTAGAAGATCTCATGCTTTCCAATCCCAGGAGACCTGATGCCTTCTTCTGGCCTCCACAGGCAACAGACATACATGCAGACAAAACACTCATACACATGAAATAAATTAATTAAATTAAAATTTAAAAAGTCACTTTAGCTGGGTGGTGGTGGTGGTACATGCCTTTAATCCCAGAACTTGGTAGGCAGAGCCAGGTGGATCTCTGTGAGTTAGAGGCCAGCCTGGTCTACAGAGTGAGATCCTGGACAGGCACCAAAACTACACAGAGAAACCCTGTCTTGGAAAACAAAACACAAAACAAAACAAACAAACAAAAAAAGAAAAGAAAAGAAAAGAAAAGAAAAAAATCACTAAAAAGTCTGGGAATATGGGCCAGTAGTAGGGGCACTGGATTCAAGTCCCATTATTGTGGGGAGGAAACCAAAAGAGGAGAGGCAAAGTAAAGGGAAAGGAAAGGAGAAGAGGAGGGGCAGGGAGAGGGCAGTATGTAGAATACATACCTGTAAAGCCAACACTCTGCAGGCTAAGAGAGAAGTACTAGGAATTAGAGTCCAGCATAGGCCACTAGGAAGAACATGTTTCAAAGAGAGACACAAAGAGAAAGAGACTAAGAAAGAGTGGAGGAGAAGAAGAAAAGAGAAAGGAGGAGAGAGGAAGCAGAGGAGGGGAGAGAAGAAAGAAAGAAAACAAAAACGAAAACAAAACCCAAGGCTTCCCAAGAAACAATTCTGCCTCCAATTTGGCTTTTCTGCTCCTGCCTCCATCCTGCTACAGAATTGTAACTCAGCAGCCCCCAAAGTTCTGTAAGCAAACTCCAGAATAAGAATCTCTAACTAGTCCATACACACATCTTGGTTCTGTTTCTCTGGCAAACCCAAATCACTGCACCATCTCTTAAACACTAGGTACAAAGCACAGAATATTTTTCTGGCATGATGGGAAGATGTGCTCAGGAAGAGTGGAAGGCACACAGTACCAAAGAGTAAACAGCAGCAACAGCCCCACAGTGCTTCAAACCTTTCTCTCACCTTTTCTGGTATAGCCTACATGGCCTTCCTTGTCCATCATCTCAATCCATTCATGGTTCTCAAAACTTTGGGATGAAGCTGGGTGGTGGTGGCGCACGCCTTTAATCCTAGCACTCGGGAGGCAGAGCCAGGCGGATCTCTGTGAGTTCGAGGCCAGCCTGGGCTACCAAGTGAGTTCCAGGAAAAGGCGCAAAGCTACACAGAGAAACCCTGTCTTGAAAAACAAAAACAAAAAACAAAAAAAAAAACAAAACTTTGGGATGCAAAAACTTTCATTCTGTTGGTCTGGGCTGTAGATAAAAAGAGCATGAAGCAGAAGTCTGAGTTTCAGACCAGCAAGGGAACATCTTTACAGGGATCAGTGCAACAGCTGCCTTTCTCCTGACTCTCAAATGCTCACCTGCTAAGCTCTCTCCTGGGGCTGCAGAGGTAGGATCAGAACCGATAACCACTTGGTCTTTGATTCTGACTACAGCCTAGCAGTAGATCCCAGTGCATGAGATCCATTCTGTTTCCCTGGCTCAACTATACAAGACTCCCCATATTTTGAAATGACTCCCTCAATTCTGCTTGACACGGATTGATCATATGTCTGCACCATCACCTGCCCAACTTCAATATCAATCTGCCAATTCTTCAAACTTCTTTGATCCTCAAGTTTATATGCTGAACAAGAAACAGTATACTTGTAGGCTGGGGAGTCCAAAGTATTTAGTGAATATGAGTAACTCTCTTTGGTTTCTCTCATTTCCAAGTTGGGACCCTATACTACCACCTGTTTATTGTGAGACCCTGAGCAAGTTTTTAAAGCTTGCTGTACCTCAAGACTCCTCATTTATAAAAGGGAATAATTCCTACCCATAAGTAATCAGGATATGTCAAATGATGAATGGGAAAGGTTTGTATAAGATAATCTTTACAATGTAATTTGAGTGGGTTGAAAATTAGCTCAGCAGTAGAGTGTTTGCCTCGTATATACAAGGGCTTGGCTTTGATTCTCAGCACTGCAAATGAAAGTAACAATAAAAGTAATTTGTGGCTCCAGGTTTGTATTAGTTTTTTTAACAAGAAAAGTGTATCCACAGAGCTGAAGAGATGGCTCAGTAGTTAAGTGGACATATTGATCTTGCAGGGGACCCAAGTGACTCCTAGCTTTCATATTGCTTGTAATTCAGTGCTCTTTTCTAGCCTTCATAGGAACTGCACTGACATGCACATATTTATACACACATATAATTAAAAGCATAAAAATTAAAATATAAATTTTAAAAAGGTCATCTACAGAGAAAATGTCACTTCTCAAAAAAAAAAAGATTCAATTTAGGTCAGGAAAACCCAGCAGGCTACAAATGGTACTGGTACAGGTCACAGTATGGCCAAGTTACCCAGAGTCTCTTGAGATGAAGTGACCACAAAGACAGCTGAGCTATATACTCCCTTCCCTTCTTGCTTATCAAGAAAGATGATTGGCAAAGTTCTTTTAAGCCAAAAGTTATTCAGGGGATACATCATTTGGAAGAGATGAGGGATTAACTAGAAAATAAGAGGTAAATTGCACATGACCAAAGAATTATCTGAACCAACACAGCAGCAGAGCTGGCACAATCTGGTTCCCACTGCAGGTACAATTGCAACCAGTGCATTCACACATTTTAATAACAACCCTAAGGTGGTTATAGTAGATGGGGCCTAGAGAGATTACATAACCTCTTTGTTCATAGTGTCAGAGCTGGGAAGGGTTTGAGTCAGACTGGGAAATTGAGCTTGTTTATTTTTCAAGTCTTATTTATGAATCTTGCTATGTAGCCCAGGCTGACCTCAAACTCATAATCCTGCTGTCTCAGGCTCTTGAGTATTGGGATCACAGGCCTGTGCCACTATGCCTGGCTTTAGGGTCTACATTTGTTTTCCTTTGGTTTTCTGAGACAGTCTCCCTATTATGTAGCTCTGACTGTCCTAAAACTTGCTATGTAGACCAGGTGGACACCAAACTCATAGAGATCCACCTGCCTCTACAGTCTGAGTGCTGAGATTAAAGATGTGTACCAACAAGCCTGGCCCAAGGTCTACATCTACTAGATGCTTAAGTCTCTTACATAGAATGATGCATTTGCATCATTATATACTTTATACATTATATACATTACAACTTAGGTACATCTTACCCTAGCTCTTAAATCATGTCTAAATTAGATATAATTCCCATTGCATTATAAATGCTACCAAAGTACTGTTACACTGTTTTGCTTAGGGGATGATAAGAAAAAGCATTTGTACATGTTTAGTACAGATATTGTCAGCCTAGGTAGGGTTAGTTCCCTGGATACAAAACCCACCATATATGCCTAAAAACTTAGACTAGCAGCTGACTACTCAGATGAGATAATGATTATACTGACTCATATTTTCTGCTCGTAAGTTCTAAATTTACAGGTCAGAACAGAAGCAAAATTTATAATTAGAATTAGAATCAATTTCTTTTTTTTGTTTTATTGTTATTTTAGTTTTGAGAATAAAAATGATTTGACAGATATACTAGTTAGAATCTCAAGTGAGGGATTGTCCAAATCAAATTGACCTGTGGCCAATCTTTAAGGGACTATCTTCATTAATGTTTCATGTGGGAGGACCCAGCTCACTGTGGCACCACTATCCCTAGGCAGGTCAGCCTGGGATCTAAAAGAAAACTAGGGTAGCATGAGCCAAGGAGCAAGCCAGGTAGCAAGCAATATCCTCCATGGTTCCTGCTGTACTTCCTCAGCTATGAGTGAGTTCCTGGGCCACAAGTAAAGCTGGGGGGAATAGCAAGTAGTTCTACCTTAAGATTCCTGTCTAGAGTTCCTGCCCTGACTTCCCTCAGTGATAGGCTATGATCTAGAAATTTAAGATTAAATGAGCTCTTTCCTCCCCTAAGTTGATTTTAGTCAGAGCAACAGAGATGAACTGGAACAATAGGGTATAAAAACACCTACTCCAAAGAAGGCTGAAGACACAAACACCCCTGCTCCCAACAATGTTCTCTAGACTGGTTCATGACTCTAAGGGAAAATGAAAGAACATAGTAATCAGGTATCATGTTTTGATCTGCAAGGATAATTTTTAAAAACCCAAAACCTATCTTCATAGGGTTCACAATACTTACATAACTGGCATTTCCATTGATGACATTAAAGACTGTGGTGTATCCATACAATCAAGCCTACAGAATGAGAAATCAGTGAATAACTTTCTGGTTTCAAGCATAACAGAATCCAGAAATCATGAAATTCCAAGTACTACTACTTAAGGGAAAATGATGGACTTTATTCCAGTGGCTGGCATCAACAGAACTACCTTTGAAGAAGAAAACAGAACATTCTTATGAGTCCCTGGTAGGGAGGCAGAGCCTGCAGAAACAAAAATAGTTCCCAAACAATACAGGACTGTGGCAGTTTGAATGAAAATGACCCCCATAGAATCCCAGGAAGTGGCATTATTGGAGGTGTTGCCTTGTTGTAGAAAGTATGTTACTAGGGGTGGGCTTTGAGGTTTCAGAAGCTCAAGCCAGGTCTAGCGGCTCACTGTCTCTTCCTGCTGCCTGAGGATCCAGACCCAGAACTCTCAGCTTCTCCAGCACCATGTCTGCTTACTTGCTGCCATGCTTCCTGCCATGATGATAATGGACTGAACCTCTGAAGCCAGCCCCAATTAAGTGTTTTCCTTTATAAGAGTTGCCATAGTCATGACATCCATTCATAGCAATAAAACCCTAAAACATAGGACCAAGGCTTCTATGGCTAGCACAATAGGAGGTGGACACAAGGCTTATAGCCAGGGGACAACCCCATGTTTTGTGTTCAACTAGCAAACCCTGAAAAAGTGGTACCTAAGAGTTTCACCAATGTTGTTTCCAAGCAAAGCCACCAAAAAAACCTGCCTTTGCTCGGGAAAGGCAGATATACGGCATGGGTAGATATACAGCCAGCATGTTATGGCTTTACTAGGGGCAGTTAATTCCCAGTCCTCAGTGAGGAGCTGATTGGGGGTTGACTAGGGTAAGAAGGGTACTATAGTTTGGTCAGGAATATCTCCCAGAGATGCTTTAACAGGATATGAATGGGTTAAAGACTTGGTCTCCAGCTTGGAGTGACATTGGAAGGAGGTATCTAAAGTGTAAATCTAATTAGTCTTATCAATGAAAACCAGGAGTCAGATATCGGAGTAAAACCTGAACAATCAGAGAAGCAGGAGAGAAGCCACAATTGCTTCCCTTCTCTTCCATTCCTCCAGTCCAAAAGGGCCAAGAGCCTGTGTCTGTCCTGCCTTATCACTTCCTGTTCCTCTCTGTACAGACCTCCAGACATCTATGGTTAACTAGCGGCTTGCTCCACCCTCTGACTCCAAGCAAGCTTTATTTGTCAGAACACAAACAAAATGTCATACAACAGGTATCTAAAAGGAAGTCTTCAGGACATTGAGGACATACCCTTGGAAGGGATTGTGCAATCCCAGTCTCTGTTTCTTTTGTCCACTGGGTGCCATGAAGTAAACAGCCTCGCTCCCTGCTCTCCAGTGTACTCCCACTATTCTGTGCTGATTCCCTACAGAGTCAAAAGCAATGGAGCAAAGTAAGCATGGAATGATACCTCTGAAACTATGAGCCAGAATGAGATTTCTTCTTTTTTCCCCCTGTATTTATTTATTTATTATGAATATCAGAAAGGTCAGAAGACAACTTGCAGGAGTTGGTTTTCTCTTTCCATTATATGGGTCTCAGGGAGAGAAATAGAGTTGAGGTCCTTAGCCTGCTAAGCCTCTCAGTGGCCCTTAATAAACTTTCCTTTTCTTAAAGATTTAGTTTCATTATTTTTAATTATTTGTATATATGCATATATATGTGAGAGTATGTGTACATGAGTGTAGGTGCCCACAGAGGCTAGAGTATGGCATCAGATACCCCTGGGACTAGAATTATACACAGTTGTGAACTGCCCAGTGTTAACACTGAACTCAGATCCTCTACAAGAGCCAGAAGAGCTTTTAACCACTAAGCATTCTCTTCAGCCCCCATCCCTTTTAAAAAGATTTTTTTTGTTACCTGTGTGGGCATATGAAATTTTTGTTTTTATACATTGATTACCTCAAGTATTTGTTAAAGTAACAGAAAACTGATTAATACAGAAAATAAGAGACACTTCCATGAGGCTTGTGGCCAGCAGTATTTCCCAACTCTATTTCCCAACTTCTATGGTAGAAGTTCAAAGAAAGGATGATTTTATAACATGGGCTTTTGAGAAGTCCAGAGCCTGACTGAGTTAAGTGGAATAGGGATATGGGTATAGGAAAAGTAGACAGAAGTCACAGGAGGACCTATAATCATCTGTTAGAGATCCAGAGCTGGAGAGATACAGCTGAGGTCAGAAGATGTTGGGTATTCCAAACTTTACCCATTTTCCTGATGCTAGTGGTTGGTCAGCTCACCACAGGTGTTGTCGTCACAGGCAGAAAAGTTGTAGGAGAGAGCAGTGTTAATGACCATGGCTACCCAGGATGATAAGTCCTGAAGGAACACCACCTCCTGAGAACTTCCTGTAGCCTTCTAAGTGCTCAAACCTTAGGGGACATCTGTTATTTGTTTTCTTTTCTCCTAATAAAAATAACAACTATAGGGATGGAGAAATGGCTCATTCATTAAAGTGTTTGTGGCATAAACATGAGGAACTGGATTCAGATCCCTAGTACCCACATAAAAAGCCAGATACAGTAGCATATGTCTATAAAGGCAGAGACAGATGAGATGGATCCCTGGAGCTTATGGGCTTATTAATCTAGCCAAATCTATGAGCTCCTGGTTTAGGGAGGCACCCTGTAACACATTTTTGAAACGAGTAGAGAATAATAAAGGAAGACATCAGGTGTCAACCTCTGATCTCCATATATCCATATGTAATGCACATGCATGTGTGCACGTCCCAAGTGCTGAGATTACAGGTATGTACCATGACATCCAAATCTATGTGGTGTGGTGTTGGAGATCAAACCCAAGGCTTTGTGCATGCTAGGAAGGCACTCTACCAACTGGGCTATATCCTAGTCCTTCAAGTACTATGTGTGTGTGCATGTAAGTGCGTGGGTGTGGTGATTTATTTGTGCTGAAATGTGATATTTTATTTGTATGTTAATAAATAAAGTTTGCCTAGAGATCCAAAATAAATTAGAGTGGGCAGTTTTCTGTTATAAACCACACCTTTCCCCACCTATTTCTGAACAAGAGAACCAGCTCACCTGCAGTTCGGAAAAGACTGGGGGTCAGCTTGCTGTTGTCAGGGTGCACAGTTGATTTTAAAGGGGCAGAGGAAAAGGTTAGTTGGATGATGGTTTTTATTATTTTAGAAAGCCAACAATTTGCCAGGCAGTGGTGGTGCATGCCTTTTAATCCCAGCACTCAGGATGCAGAGGCAGGTGGATCTCTGTGAATTTGAGGCCAGCCTGGTCTACAGAATGAGTTCCAGGACAAGCTCCAAAGCTACACAGAGAACCCCTAACTCAGAAAAAAAAAAGAAAGAAAGGGAGAGAGAGAGGGTGAGGGGAGGGAGGGAGGGAAGGAGGGAGGGAGGGAGGAAGGAAGGAAGGAAGGAAGGAAGGAAGAAAGAAAGAAAGAAAGAAAGAAAGAAAGAAAGAAAGAAAGAAAGAAAGAAAGAAAGAAAAAGAAAATAAAGCCAACAATTATAAAGGGGCTGAAACTTATGAGGTTCCTAGTCCATGTGTCTTTAATCTAAAGAGAGATGACAAGAAGCATCAGATTTTAAAGGTAGTTCAACAGCAAACAGAATCTCTTGGCCAGTCTTAATTCCTGAGGTCACATTTGTATTACCACTCAGACAGAACAGGCTAGAGTAGAGAAACTATAGTAAGTCAAAATGAATGTGCCAAATGGATCAAATAAATAAAAAGTAAACTAACAAGCCAAGTGATGAGCTTTATGAAGAAACTTCCCAGAACATTAGGAAGTCCTAGCACCATGGAGAAGATTGTCAACAAACAGCCCTTCAGTGAGTCTAGAATAGTCCCCTAGCAACAGATAGCATGCAGAGACTTTCCAATGCCATCAGTCTCGTCACTTGTCACAGAGCCAACTGTCAGCTCAGAGGCTTCAACAAGTTCTTAGAAAAACAAAGCTAATCTGAGCTTTCTACAGGCTGTCTTTCCTTTCATTTCTTGAGACAGGTTTTCTCTGTTAAGCCCTTGCTATCCTAGAACTCACTCCATAGACTAGGGTGGCCTCAAACTCAAAGATCCTCCTGCCTCTGCCTCCTGAGTGCTGGAATTAAACATGTGTACCACCACCACTCAGCTTCCAAAGGCTGTCTTGAGGGGCTAATATTTATGAATTTAAGAAACTCCTTATACATCAAGCTGGGTAACAAATACTTGGTCTGAGCTCACTATCAGGAATACAATCTTGCCCTGGAATACTGCCTACGATGAAATATGGACTCTGACTTCAAAGGCCTGTCCTTGAGTTTGTCATGGGGCTTCAGGAATTGGCTATGTATGAAGAATTCCCTCTAGTGAGTGGCACAGACGTATCTGATGGGAACAGCAAAAGTCATAAAGCCAGAACAGCTGCTTGACAAAGATCCAGCAAAGCTGAGCCACACAATGGCCACTGTGCCACCTTTGGTTTTCATGTCCACCTGTTGCATACTTGGGGCACTTTTAATATTTGTGCAATTTGGGGGTGTTGGATTGATAGAAAATTTCTTATGAATCATTCATGCCTTCTCCCAGGCATGCTGCTTCTAAGGTCCCCCATGACAGAACATACTACCCCTCCTGCTGTTAGGGAGATATCCTTATCTACTTGAAGGTCCTCTTTATGCCTTGGAGGTTATGACACACATAAAGAAGCCAGAGTTCTCTTTATGAGGCTATGAGACATTTTTGAAACATCTGTCCCTGTACTTATGCAGGAACAAGATATTCAAAACAAAGTAAACTCAAAACGGTCAACAGGATTCAGTGGGCTAGAGGAGTTAGCCACAGTTTACAAGATTACAAGCCTCTTCCCACTATACACTCAGACAATTACGTGGCATATACCTCTGCCCTACACAGAGACATATTGATGAGCAAAGTAGGGAGTGGAAAGATGATAAAAGAATGGGATGTCAGGACTTCCCTTTCTTAGAAAAGTTAGCACATGCAGAGCCACTATGGTGTCATATGACCAAGGAACAACAGAATGCCAGGATTAGACATACAGACAAATTCTATAAAGATATAAAATATAAACATTGTATTATGCCAGAATTTGAATAACTGAAGCAGCTTTGGCCTGAGGATTTTTCCTGGGCACTCTGACCACATTTTGGTCTAGTGTCCTTGTAGCCACAAAGGCTACTAGCCTGAGAACAGGCTGTCATATGCCTCTAGATTCTTAAAAATTGGGTTTTTGGTTAATGAGTAAGAATTGATAACTGTTTATTAATGATGTCAAAACTTGAGGGAAAATGATTGGAAATGGTAACTTGTAGCTTAGAGTTTTCCTGTCTGGCCCACAGTCAGGACAAATCTTTCTCACCTGCCAGTCCCACAGCCGCTCAGACCCGACCAAGTAAACACAGAGA